AATTTTGCTTAAGTGGTTTACCTAATCGTAGGACATTCTGCTAATTGAAGCTGCGTCCTGTCCGCGGAAGCTGAAAATTTCGCGTTATGCGTTATTTGGCCCGAAAGATACCGCAATCCTTCCTGCGTAAAGCTCTGATCCCGACAATCCTATTACGGTACTCGGGATCATCCTCACGAGTCCCTCTTCCTGCAATCCCGTAAAATGATATCACGACATCCCCGTGGTACTACGTCGATCTGAGCGTGCCCTATGGTATATGGTTTTACGACGGCTTTCCTCTCTTATTTCGTTCTCCTCGTGCAAACTCCGCCGGAAACGAGCGTTACGAGAACCTTTGACACACTTCTCCTTCTGTCCTTCAGAAATCAGAAGGGCACTTTTGTTCCTCGATATATATATATATATATATATATATATATTTCACCCGATTCCGATGAAAGCGCGGCAAGACTTCGCTTTTGCCGACCTGGATAGGAGTAAGTGCGAAGTGATAGGCAAAGTGGAGAGCGCATAAATAGATAATGGACCTAAATGAAGTGGAGAATATTTCACACTAGTTGAACTCGCGAGGGATGCACGGCGGGTCTAATGGCTCCAGGTCATGTTTACGATCCAGGCACGAATCGAGAAGCCGTTTCGCGTTCGCGCGCGCGCGAACACACAGCCCGGACTCTTTTATAAAACTTAATTTTCCGGATAATTTTACCATTTGTTACCGCCTTTCCTCTTACGCGTTACAGTCATAATTTACAGTCGTCGTGCAGCCGAGCGTTAATGGAAATTTTAGGTACCGTCTCCTCTCTATCTTCCGCGCTTCCTTCCACCCCTTTTTTTTCGTCGTCGCAGATTTAAGAGGGACGTTTAACGTTTTACATGGTCTGAAACTTCGGGAGAAGCGCATTAAAAGGGTGCCCGAAAGTACGTAAATATCCAGTCGGAATTTACATAATTTATCGCAACCTCCCCTCCCCCCCCCCCCCGGAGAGGAGCGGCTTATACCCCTATTCGCGTTTTATTTCGCCGTAACAAGTGGCAAGAATAGAAACGGTAAGTCCGGCTCCCTCAATGCGTTGTACAACGAGGTATTCTCCTCTTGCACGGCTCCCGTTATTTACAGGAATATTGAGAAACGCCGTGTACTTAGTGCCGTCGGGAAGCGTCGTTTGCCTTGCAAGAATAAGCAAACAAGCAGTACTCAAACCCTGGCGTCTCCCGTAACAATCTCAAAACAGTTCCGTAATAGAAAGCCGGTGATGTTGCAGCAGGCAAAGCTCTCTAAAAATGCTTCGCGAGAGAGAGAGAGAGAGAGAGAGAGAGAGAGAGAGACAGAGAGAGAGAGAGTTACGTAGCTCAACCGGAAGTATCGCCACGGGGGATCTCGAATAGAATCGGAGCGGAGGGACTTGTAATCAGATCCCGTTTGCATCATCCGAGCGCACCTGTGCCGCGACGAGCGTTGAGCAATGCTCTCCGGCGAAGATCAGGAAAATGAGGTTGCTAATCTTTAACGAAATGTTAAGACGGCGGATCAATAGCCGATTAATCCGATCAGTCTTCGAAATGTTCAATCATCCAACACGCGTATCGAGCGCGCGCTTCACCCGGGAGCGGATAAATAAACGCGGTCTGGCCATTAATCTTCCTTAACTACTACCAAAAGTTTCTCGCGGGGGCTTGCGCGAGAAACGCGCGAGTGTTAAAATAACAATCTGTACGTCGCCTAACATCTTGCGTCGACGTTAGCCGTATATAGATGATCAATAGTTCGCGAGCTGGCTGCGTTTCCCGGCACGTAATCCAATCTAATAGCGCCGCTGAAATCAAGATCGATTCTATATAGAAAGCCGGGCCCGATCGCGGCGACGACGCGGACGCTTTGAGAGAACCGGGAACGCGGAACGCCGCGCTTGTGTCCGGCAGAACGACAGGACCGTGGTAACCCTCGGGGGAAATAGTTCCGGCCTGCCGGGCTATGCCGAAGTTACGCCGAGATTCCCGAGCTGCAGTAATGCAGTTTGGTAGTTGTGCAGTTGTAACGAGGGCCCCATAGCCGGCTGTCCGTGGACGTATCGTGGACGTGCTATATAGCGATCGTTATAGCGGTCGTACAGTCGTATGGGTCGCGTGACCGTATATGGCCCGGTCGTATTCGGTCCACATGTCGTATTTGTACTACAAATCCCCGTAACCGCAAATCCCACGTCCGCAAGCGGGTAGCGAGCTCTAATCACGGCCGTGCAAACGATGGCTGCCTTGAACTGTCCTGATACTTCCTCTGCGACGGTGGTTAAAACGCCGTGATTAGCTTCTCCGTTGCTTCTCCGCGCTGTCGGCTCGACAGCTTCCGGAGCACGTATCGCGCCCGCGTGGATCATTCTCGGGATAATATTATGAGAGCGGGTTCGAATTTCGGGTTTTCGCAATATGTTAATATGTGTGGAATATCTCTCGAAAGTGATGGAACTGCATTAGATATTATTCAGAGAATCACACGTGATCCTTTAATAAATATAACGCAGCGATATTAATTTATCTGGAATATCTGGAATATTTGTAATAATAAAACGTTTCGTTTGCAAAAGAATTAATATGACTAGCACATTCTCAAGACATTTGCACGAGCGTTACCGTGACCGTTGCCGCACATCGAATGTCTATGACGAAACATTCCTAACCGTCATTAGTTACGCGAACAAAGCGCTTCTCTGCATCAAACAAAGCTACCCAATAATTTTACAAATTCGCTGCACTCCGGAGAACCACGGAGCAGCGAAACTCGCGTCGCGGTTTCCTATCTATCCTGCATACGTTTCATCGATGTAACGTTATTGTTGCGACGTGCTTGTCACCGCGGCTCGATGACACTGCCAATATTATTGCAAGAGAGGGACGCTTTTTATTTCGTTCGCAGCGACAGCTCGATAATGCGACTCCGGGTCCACGAAGGCGCGAAACTGTCGAGTCGCGCGGAATTAGAGGCCCATAAATACGAATCAGCAGCCGCTCGAATGCTGCTCCACGGTCATGTATACACGTCCGATCGAGCGGAACTTCGGATTGTGTCTCAGACTCCGCGTGAACTGTCTCTCTACAGCGGGAGCAATTCGGTGGACAGCGAAGACAGGCGAATGATCGATGGGATTGGTAAGGCAACTATTGACGAAGGGCCGGCCGTTAATGTTTCTTTTTGCCTCTGCGACGGATACGCGTTGCATCACGAATCGAGAAGAGGCCCGTAAACTAATTAGTAAAGTTGCTTGTAACATTTTCGTGCTCGCGATTCAATTATAGAGTTTTAATAATTACGTAAATATGATTCCAATTAACAAAAGTCTGAACTTCATGAATTAAATGCGAAGCAACCTACATCAAAGAAAACTTATAATTTATCCAAAAATTAGAAGAAAAGCAGTATAAATATGAGTAATAAAAGGCAAAGGATAATAAAGACAATTCAAGAAGATTCAGTAAATTGTAGATAAATATCACGAGCAATGAACTCACGAGGTGTCTCAATAACTCGAATAAATCAAACACCATATACTTTCATGTTCTGGATACAATTATCATAAGTCAAATCATATGCGCCAAGTTTTGACAATGTACTCAGGCTGTAAATATCGGCGCACTCGCTCGTACGTCGCAACGGCATAACAAATGGCGCGTCCGCGAAAGCCGAGGACGAAAATGGAGTTGCCATTATAAATGTATGAGTTCAAAAGTTCCGGTATGGCTGCGTCCTAGGAAATGAGCGAATGTCCTTTGCGACAGGACGCGTCAACGCGAAAAGTCCTCGTTCCGCCGGAGCGTAACCGTCGTCGCCGGGCTTTACGTTACGTTAGTACCGTGACGTACGTGAATCCGCGACGGAATTCCAGCCGGTTTACGGCGCGAATCTGATTTTCCTGGGAGCGAGCGCACGGGTGCGCGCTCGCCGTGCGCACGCCCGAGCGACGGTCGCGGCAGCGTGTACGAGTTGGCATTAACAGGAGAATAAATTATCCTATTCGGCACGAACCCTTCATAACTCAGTAGCAAAATTAGCATAAGATCAATATTGCTTTTTCGCCGCGCCACTGACGGCGCTTCGGGCCTGGCGCCCGACATGCCCATTTATCCAATTCACGATAAACGGGACGACGAATAACGAACGCTATTGCTTCCTGAAAATCGTCAATTGTCCGTCATGCATCACAAATTATAGTTTTCATACATTTCATGCGTATCTCTTTATGGTTTTTTTTTAAATATAATAATTCAACTTCGTGATAATTGATAACGAACAATTAATTACGAAGCTGTTTGATTCATTTAATAATGTAATAAACATATAAATTATAAGCAGGCTGTAACACACATAGAGAATACTGCAAATGTAATTCGTTTCAATTTATAAATTAGATATAACATTAATGAAAATTATAAAATTATGAACGCAAACATATAAAATAAAATTCATTGTTTTCAGCAAATTAAGCTTTCAATTTTTCGTGCAAATCAGTTGGACTTTAATTAATGCAGGCCTTTGAAATTATTATAGAATTGTTCGCTTCGAGAGCACTTCATACTGCACTGTTACTGTTTGCATTATGAATAATATCGGTATTTCAGCCTCTTTCCTCCCGGCAGTCAGATTGTGCACGTTTCAGAAGAACGGTTCGTTCGTCGATTGCTCCATGACGGAGACGACTCGTCGAAGAAGCAGTGGAACGAATCGACGATAATTGGAGCAAAAATAGAAGGCGTGCTTATCTCAATTTCAATGATATTGTACAACCGCAGTTGTATTAAAGAGAAAATATCCTGTTAGAACATACCTACTGTTTTTATTTTTGTTAAATTCAATAGATTCAAATTGTCGCATCATAGATGCCTTTTCCTTAAAATCAGATAATTAATCAGTATTAGTACATCTTTATCTTTATATCAATATATCAGTATCTTCACTATTATTTTCTCTATTAAAAATCAATGTTCTCCTACGACGGATAATTTCCGCGATGCATAATATGTAAATCGTAGACGTAGACGAAGGGAAATGAAGAGCATAATGAAAGTTCGACAGCGTTTTTGAGCTTTATGCAAAATTCTATGTAAGCAAGAGCGTTTACATCTCGTATACAATCCATGCATGTACCTACGTCCGAGAGAAATTACGACAGACGATAGAAGAGACAGAAGGAGGAAGATAGACGGAAGAGAACGAGAAGGGAGAATTACCAGCCTCCAGGACGTGTGTATGTGTGTGTGAGTGAGTGAAAGAGAGAGAGAGAAAGACAGAGAGAACGAGTATTTTGTAGTAGACCGTGGTCCACGTGACCGGTTGTGCCCTCGGAGTGGAACGCCGAGGTCAATGCTTTCCGTCCAAGGCTAAAGGACCGGGAGAGCCGAGACTCGAGTAGGTACTCGGATACCGCGAGTACAACCGACGTCCAGCATCGGCGAGCGCCGAGCAACGAGAGAAGACGAGGAGAAACCGCGCCGCCGCGCCGGTCTCAACCTGCCCGGTTCCTCACCTCTTGCTTACAACCTGCCTCGTCTCTCCTTGGCGCTCAGCCGGGCTCCCTCGTGGCCGGAGATCCTCTCGCTCTCGCAGCCGAGAGGGTCTCTCTTACCGTACCCTTCATGCGCCACGCTACGCGGACGAGAACATCGTTGTCGCGGCTATGGAGAATCGGATTTCACGTCCCCGCGATATCGTCCGAAAGGTATTCGAGAGTACGGATCTCGGGCAGGGGATACGTTTGCCGAGTCGCCGAGTGCGATGTGTTTGAGTTTCTACCAGCTCGCACGCTCCGGCATCGGGAATCGAGTTTGCGTTGCAACGTCGTCGTCGTATTGCCGCGGTTGATCCCCACAGAGACAGTAATACGACTGGAAAATTTACTCGAAATATACCGTGCGTTCTAAATTCCGCGAGACCGAGCAAAAATAGCTGACCGATTTTCGATAATACAATAGTTATATACGCGCTACAGAGCTGCTTCGGAGTTGTATCAAGCGGAAACGTTATCGCGTATGCCCGCGTTTTTTTTTTACGCGATCAAAACCGATCCTTTTGACGTCTTCATGTCGCGCCCTGCCCCGAGCTGGCAAGAACTGCGAAGTATCATTCCACGAAGTTGTAACCAATACGAAAGTCGCGATACGAAGGGCGTTCTGTTCTTGTTACACCACTCGCACCAGCCGCTCCACTTCCAGGACCGTAACTTGTTACAGCCGGACACTTTACGGCTGAGAACTAAAAGATTAAGAAGGGGCTCCAGGATCGGAGCGGCAGAACGAGGACGCATTGTTTCCCGGGGCTTCCGCCGGCAAGAAATTGGATTTCGAAACACTGGCAAACGGCCGATACTGCGTACAAGAACATCTCTGCCGAGAGCGCGTTGCACCGAGACGGCTGCACATTTTTATATTTATCACATTTCACAGATTAAATCCGAGAAGCGAAGGAGCACGAGGCGCGAGACTCCAAAGCTGGCTGAAACCGGCGTAATTTCGACGCTTTCAATTTTTAATTCTATAGAGATGAAAAATTTTGTTGTACCTCACGTCGTTTATTTATCATCGCAAATAAGTACAGAGATAATTTGATAAAAATGTTGAAACAATTTAATTCAAAAATTATATCTTTGACATAAAAGTCTAAATATATTAAAATTAAATTTCAGTTCTACACCTCGAACGCAACTGTCGGCAATAACATCGCTATACGCCGAAAAGGGAGGTTCCCCGAAAATTGTTCTCGGTTTATAACCGTCGCGAACAGTCCCAAGTAAATTAAGGAACGCCTCGTTGTAAAGGAATAACGTCGAATGCAGCGCGAGCGCAGCGGCATATTCAACCGCGGAAATAACGATTAATGGATACGATTAAAACCAAGAGCGCGCCGTTACCACGCTCGACCTACCCGCGTGGCCCTTAAAGAAATCGATTTTTGAAGATGAAGTGTAATGGCATTTTCCTGATACCATCGTTGTTGGAAGTATGAAATTTACGCGTGTTTAGATTAATCACCGACGAAATAAAAATTGATGGTACAAGTGTATCGGTAAATAACTGCATTAAATCACTGGTATATCAGTTTGATGAAGAAAGTGATCAGTTGGGAAATCGGTGTTATGCATTGCATACATTATATCCCTCTCTATACCTTGACGCGATGGATGATTTACTTTATACTCGATCTATTTAGAAAATTGAGCATGAGATTGTGTCTCCGCTTCTTTTCCTCGACAGACACGACGCGTAAACCCCGTTCGAGCTCTCTCGTAGATGTATACGTCACATAAATATCCATTTGCCGCAACAAATTCCATTCTCTCGCGGCGATAACCGGGAAGCGAACGGAACATTGTCCGGGAAAAATTACGAGATCATCTGGAATACCGCGGACGTCCCCGTCAGAATATTTAACGACACGACGCTGATATTACGGCTGCGAGATCTCGGATATTAGACTTTAACTTTGCGATAATGCATACTTTCGGAAGGTGGCGATATTGAACGAAGTGTCATTTCACTTATCTTTATTATAAAAACTCTCTTTTAACGTTTAACGATTTATTACATTCGAACATATCGCGAGAGAAATGAGATATACGGAAAAGCAAAGAATAAAAAATATATAATGCAATTTTTGTTTTTGCTGAGAATAATTAAATTTCTTTTAGCTTTTACTGTGATCGTACTTGTAGAGATACAGTTTATATTTCTGAATACGAAAGAGAGAGAGAGAGTAGCAATTATTAGCAACGAACAACGACACTTCAGTCGACCGTTATCGAACTTCGTTCGCGAAGCAATTGTATACCGCGAGCGATGCTTAATCCGCGTAAGCCCCGAATCTCGCGCGAGGGCGAGTCGGAGTCGCGAGCGCGCACGTTTAAACGGCGCTCTGACTAGCGATAATTTAACGGAGGCAAGGCACTATCTATTTATGTAGGAAGCGAACGAGATACATCGTCGAAAACGCCTAGAGCCAGATACGAGAATGGCGTCTTTGGAAACTTTCCCATCGTATAACGTCGTCGTCGGCGTGCGGGCACGCGCGCTTGTCTCCCTTAAACGTTTTGGCCAAGTACTTTAAGTTTACACGACGGGACAAGTTTGCGAACTTTAACTTATTTGCTTCCGTGCCGGATTACCGGTTAAACGGTCCCGGTCGCCGGGAGGGTTAACACAAGCCGCACGGTCCCCATGCAAAAGGCGCGGTGATCGCCGATACCGAAACCGCCACAATTCCACCGACCTCGCCATGGTTAAAGGTAAGGAGAACTTTGTAGCTAACCAAACGCTCTTGCAAACGGCGAAAGAAGCAGTGTAAGAGTCGACGTGACGCGAATAACGGCGGAAAAACGATCGCATTTCCGCGGACTGCTCGGCGGGAATAGTTATCGCCGCGGCGTATATGCCATCTTATCGCACGTGTGACGCCATGATTTGCGACGGCAGGTTGCCGCGATGGGCTTATACAACATCTCGCGGGAGATAATAAAGGAAATATGAACATTGCTTGGGATAAGAGGATCACAGTTATCTTAAGTGGTTTAAGTTATTTACATCGGCTAAGCCGCTTAAGCAACTCGGAAATTAACGTCTTTTTTGTTGGAAAATGTTATAGAACGTTATTCTTGGACTATATGTTAAAAGCGTGCGTCGAGGATAAATATGTCTCTTGTTTGCATTATATAGAGAAAATCATAAAGAAAATACTAATTTGTCTTAGCCGAGCCATTTAAAAGTAATGGACAAATATGTCAAGAGAAACGTGCTAATATCTTTCGAGACACATCGCGACAAGTATCATCCGGAAAAGCCAAACGCGATAATCCCTTGCAGCCATTCTCAGCTTGAAATTAATTAATTTCCATTATTAATGACTCGTAAATGAAATGATCAAAGTGACAGGTTGCTCGATAATCACCGTACAAATTGCAGAATTTCTAAATTAAGTTCTTCGAATCGCGAAATATTTAACATTCACTAAAATATAAGTACACGTTGAATATTTTGTTCCTCATATATCAAATCAATTTTGAATCCTCATTCGTGAGGACATTATCGTAAAATACAGTCTTTACGTTTTGATTTGTAAAATTTAAAGACAATTATAAAGCATTATAGTTTACAAATATTACAATTATATAAATTCATAAAAATTAGAGCTAAAGTCAAAGCCAGTTATCACTCGAATATATTTTGCGTACTTAAAATCATTAAAGTAGATATCTTCTCCGTTCCTAATTGCGTTTTAAACGCCAGCTTGCACCGGATTCCCTTAGTGAATTTTGTCAAGTTCTATATATCCCTGGACAGGAGAGCTTGATTGAATATCCGATCAACGGGCGCGACTGGCGCAGTTATGCATGCATGTATGTATGTACGTATGTATGTATGTTAGAAACTTGTTTAGCGCTGCCCCACGGGACTGAAATTCTGTGGTGGCGTCGGCTGTTGCAGTCGGCTCTCCAGACATGTAAACTCGCGCCAGCCGATACGCATCCGTACTATCGCAACAGCCGTGCTTAACTCGGATGCCAGTTTATAATCACTTAACGTGTTTCAAAAGGTTAAAATCTTAAAATTCAACCGAGATCCCAGGATTTTCATAATTTCCAAGATACGCTACTGTTGTGACAGCTGCCATTCCGAAAACAGAAATGGAAAGTCAACACTAAACTAGAAGCTTATATAATTTATACAATTATGCGATAAAACTGCG